GTCGGGGATACAGGGCTGGGAGTTCAGTAAGGATCTCTTTGAATATGGGCCCGAGCACGTAGTCTAGCTGCACATTGTGATGAGGGACAAAGATGCGTCCATCAATAGCGCTTTTCTCTCCAGCTTTGTACTTTTCACATTCTGCATCAATAATCCTCTTCAGGGCCACAGATGGGCTCGGACGCTCTACGACTGATACTAAAGGAGAAGCCATTGACAGTATGCTTTTCTTGAAAGTGAAACCGAGAAGGGAAGTAGAGTGGAGCCGAAGATCGGTAGAAAGAGGGGTTTGTGCGTTAGAAGAGCAAGTGATTTCAGAGCACGAAACAAAAGGGTTTTAAAAGCCCTCGTATTTGAAAATATATTACATGAGCTGTTAAGTATTAGAAGTGCGAATACAAAAGCTTCCTTCAATATTGATGCTTTTGGAGGGGAAAACAAAGCCCAGTTATTGAGGCTAGCTTCGAAGTAAGATATTTTGCTTCGAAGCCAAGTCAAACGGCATCGAAACAGAGAAGCCGGCTTCGAAGCAGGTTGCCATACCCAAAATATAAAAATACTCGAATGTTTATTTCACTTAAAAGAGTTTAAAGACCTGTTTTTAGGTTTTTAACAAAGGTAATGTCCTTCGAGGCAAAACTTGAGATTCTTTAAGGATGGTATTTGGTGTTTGAAACATCAAAAGCAATAATGACAATGACTAGATGTTGACTATGGTCAAAACAGACTTTAAGTATAAGATTGCTAGATTCAAAGCACTGTTTTTAATTGAAAATCAGCCAAAACTGTCAACTTTATTCCACAAATTGGAAAGGTTTACAATTGGCTCATTTAGTGTTTCATTTAAAACAATTAAGTCCAGATTCAAAGGATGAAATTGTTCGAAGTTCGGAGTTGACTTTTAAAACACAAGTGAAAACACAAGTGAAAACGCAAGTGAAAACACAAGTGAAGACAGGGTCAAACAATGACAAATGAAGAAGAATTTTGTTTATATTAAAACCAAAGCGATTACATCAGATGACCCTATCTCGGTATGAACTCGAGCTCATAAAAATAAGGAATGGAATAAATAACGAGATCATGAAATTTAGTCCAACAATGATCAATAAACTTTTGTTCTTTCCTTATTCTATCTTCCAAATTTTCTAGCATTGGCTGCATAAGTTGATGTGCTCTCACTTCATAGTAGAGCTCTTCAGCCTTTATTTCGAAAGCCACCTCTCTTAATCCTTGTTCCAATTCGTCAATGTCTAAGTCATCCCAATACGCAGAATCTTTATTCTTGAAATCATCGAATTCTTCAATAAAGTTCTCTGCTTCGTACTGAGCATGAATTCGAAGAGACGAAGGTTGGTCTAAAGATTGTGTCGTAGCCACAGAATTTCGATGCCAGTAAAGGAGCAATGGAAGTTGGTCCAGAAACATATGAAGTTCTGCCTGAGCAAGGGGATTAAGGACATGGCCCCTAGTCAGAATATCACAAGCCCATCGAAGGTTCTTGAGAGGGACTTCGTCCTCAAGTACATTAAAAGGCAAGTGAGAGAAAGCTGCAAGCAGAAGTTGAGCCTGTTTCCGCTCAGCTGGGGTGAGAGAAGGTAGAGGTTTATAAGGTGGAAAGACATTTTCCATGGATAGGGCAAGCTTCAGTCTCTCTGTCCAGGAAAGGATTGGCGGGGAAGAAGGTATGAATACTTCAATTTCGGGAGACGAAGAAGAAGGTGTGGACGCTTCAATTTTCGGAGATGACACGGGAGTAGAAGGAATAAAGGCATTAATATAATCAAGCCAGTCAGAAGAACAAATCTTCGCCTTCTGGGCTAAGAATGATGGGTTATACCCTTGTGCTTCTTCTGGGCGGGGGGCAACGTGCACTATCTTTGTCGGCATGGAGGATGTATACCATGCTACAAGAAGATTCTCCTCCAGACTACGCCGATGGTCAATGGGCACATAGGGATAGACGACTGAACTTCGAGCATAAGAAGGAAACTCTAAAGGGTCAGTGAACTCAACAAAATGATGGTTGATTCGCTCCTTCAAATCACAGGTCTCAGGTATTGACCAGCTTGTCCAGTCAGAACCTCTAGAAGAGGAAGAAGTTGCAGCTTTATCCCATACAGAGATTTGTGAAGAAGAGTTTCTCAAGTCCATATTTGCAACTTTCTGAATCAAAGGTTTGAGTGCAGTTTGTTCGAACTGTAAGGGTAGGTTAGAGGAAGAACTTCTTATGTCTATATTTGTAGCTTTCTGAATCGAAGGATTAAGAGCAATGTGTTCGTAATCCAAAGGTCGGTAATTTGCAAAGGCATCCATGACCTGAATATAGAAAGGTGGGTAAAGGTGGCTAATAAATGCATGCTTTCGATGAGAAATAGCATCGACATATGACTCTTCGAGTGCTTCATCGCTGGAGGAAAGAATTAATTTGGCCATGAAGCGTATCAGTCTGTTCGAACACTAAGACAGTGAAAATACTTAAAGGATCAAAACGAGAGTATTAATACAGATGGCGAGTGACAGTTGTATTTCTGGGAAGATGCAAAACCCATGCACGTTCTAAGACGTGGGAAAAAGGACCCTGATCCACTAATATCACCAAGTCTTCGGCATATTAGTGCGGGGGGTAATGTTGGCTACATATTTTGTGCTAGCCAATGACAATTCGACGCGTGGCAAAGTAAGGGTAATAGGGGGAGACCAGTCAGGTCTTCGATCCTGATCATACACGTGGCAGTTGATATTGGTTGTTATAAGATCCGAGTAGCAGCGGATCAACAAAGAGATGTACGGTGACATGGCTTCAACGGTTGCTCACATTCAAATTCAAATATAGGAGGGAAGCCTAACTACAAGTGAAGGCGTAGTGGAACTACTTATAAGGTAGCATGATCAGCGATCACGGAGGAGCAGTTCGACGGTTTGAAATACAGTTCGATGGTTATCTTCGGAGAGTATAAATAGCAGGAAGGATTCCAGAGAAGGGGACAAAAAGAAATCTAAAGAAAACCAATCTTACCTTACATATTCCAGTTTTATTTCCTGTTCTTTACACTTTTGTACTTTAAGTTGCACTTCATTTGTAGGAGTAGTTTTCGAGTATATTGCCGCTGTAAATTTCTATGGAGCTAAGATCATTGTAAGTTTTTTATACTAATGAAATGTTTCAGTTTATTTAACTGTTCTTATGCTCAAGTTCTCTGAAGTCAAGCTACCAGTAAGCCACCAGTAAAAGTCCTCTTTATTGAGACTAAAAGAACCATAACACAATCGTTTGAATAATTGTTTGGCAATTACAATTCTGTAAGGACTGATTGATCCTTGCTGGCACGCTCATAATTACAAAAATAACCTTCGAAAGCCAAAAAGCCAACAAAATCAAAAGATTTTTTTAAAGAATTTCAGTTACAAAATTTAATCAGAATTTTAAACTAATCAGGCCTAGTCTAGTTAACTATCATGACTCTCTTAAGAGTTTAGCCCTAAGCGGAAAGTTATAGATTCAACTCTTCCAAAGGAGAGTTGAATTAAGTGGGAGTGTGGAGGCTAACTCGCATAAATGCTAATTTAACAATTAAAAATTGACTTTTGCCGATTAAAAAAAAAAAGAAAAAAGTTCAAACAGGATTTTATTAAGCAAGTATAGTATAGATTGTAGGTTTGAAATTCGTGTATTATAGAATAGGATACAAATTAATTTTATTTACAAATTTCAATTTTAAATAAAAGTTTTGATAACTTTTTCTAAATATATAACAAAACTGAAAGATATTTTTAATCAAAAGGATGTCGATGTCCTTCAAGATAACCACGACCAAGTTGAAAGGTTCTTGGCATTAATACCTCTTCAATAAATTAGGGTTAGGACATACCAACCCCACATTGCATAATTTCTTTCTCCGTCCTTTCCTTTTCTTTTTTTTTTTTAATAAATTGAAGGAAAATTCTTAAATCGTGAACAATTTAAATGAAAAAAAGAAAAAAAAAAGATCGAAAAAAAAGAAGAAAAAATTCTTTATTACAAAAAAGACAAAAAGAAAAAATCGAACAACCTCTTCAAAATCTCAAAAAATGACAGAAGAAATTAGTACTAAGCCACTTACTACAAGTTTTTGTGTGTGCATTTTTTTATTTTTATGTTTTACACAAAAACATAACACAAAAATATATAGTAGAAAAAATATATTGTATAATTAAAATGATAATAATATCATTTAGGGCCGTTTATTTTCAGAATTAGAATAGAAGAGATTTGTAGTAAGATGATTAATAATGAGAAAAATTGTTAGTGAAATGATTAAATAAAATTGTGTTTGTTTTGATGATAGTTGTTGGTGTAGGGATTATTAAATTATTTTTATATAAAATAATAAAACAAATACAAAAAACACAAAAACATTAAACATTAATGTTCAAAAAAAATGCCCAACATGTAACAAATAAAAAATAAAATAAAATAAATAAAATTATGATTTTTATTTAACAAAAAATACAAAAAAATTAAACATTCAAAAAAAAAATGCCCAACACGTAAAAAATTTATTAAAAAATAAAATTAGTTTGGCGGACTATTTTCTAATACCAAGTCTCAAGCCTCCATCATAATTCTCTCTCCAAGCCCCATCCTAATTCGGAGGAGATTATGAGCCTTCTCTCCATCTCTTAAAACAAACACAATATTAATGGGTTTCACCTCCACCTCCACCTCAATCTCAATCCTCCATCTATCTCCCAAAACAAATGCCCTCAAGACTATCACATCCAACTTGGAAGGTGCATGCACAAAAAATTCTCATGACTTTAGAATACATCCACAAATATCAATCAACTTCATCGATAACTTAATAGTTACGACATTGCAAAATTTCATTCTCTTTTCTTTCATTTTTTTTTTCTTTTAAATAAAAATTGAAGGAAAATTCTTAAATAGAATTGATTTTTTTTTTATTTAAAATTTTTAACTATCAGTAGGAGAAAAAGGGAAAATGAAACTACACTTGCAATAGTATGACTCGAACTCAAGCATCACACCTAATGAAAAAGCATCTTACCCTGAAATAAAAAGTTCAAAGAAGAAGAAACTGTTTTCTAGCCCTCCCCTCCAAAAAAGAAAAAAAAAAAACCCACAAAACTCAAAAATAGCAAAGAAGTAATTATTAGTGCCAATCCACTAGCTGCAATATATATATATATATATTGTTTTTTTTTTTTTGT